ATATCTTTATATTAAATATTAACTAAAGCCTGATTATAAGCCCTGCTACACAACATTCCACGTTTGTTTTTAAAACGTGCTGAAAGCACATTGCTATAAACATGTAGAATAAACACTATAAACTCATCGCCTTTGGAAATAACCACACAAACAAATAAACTAAAAACAGATTTTGACTACTTGTATATTTAACTATAAAGACGATCAGTGACAGACGGTGCAGCCGCAGGGTAAATTCTGAAATTCATGCTGAATCTAAATTCATGAAATATCACAGTTTTCTAAATATACTGTAAATGCCTTCATGTATATTACCAAAAAGAAATAAAGCTATCCTTACCTGAATTATTGAAAATATTGTCCATGTTTTGCATCATGAAAATGTAAATATTGGCTCGTATAAACTGTCCTTGAGAAGAACTTGCTCCGTGTGCAATACAAAATAAAGTTTGACCGCCCCCCTCGTTTAAAAAAACTTCCTGAAGCCTTAATTATTTCCCCGGAATTACGACATCTTTACATACAGACAGACAGACAGACAGACAGACAGACAGACATACATACAGACAGACAGACAGGCAGACAGACAGACAGGCAGACAGACAGACAGACAGACAGACAGACAGACAGACAGACAGACAGACAGACAGACAGACAGACAGACAGACAGACAGACAGACGGGCCGAACGAACGGAGCGAACTAGACAGACGGGCAAGACAGGGCAGACAGACAGACGAACAGGCAGGCCAGACAGACGGAGCAGACAGACAGGCAGGCAGAAAGACCGACAGACAGGCAAGACAACAGACAGACGAAAGGACAGACAGACAGACGGAGCAGACGAACAGACAGACGAACAGACAGACAGACAACGAACAGACAGACAGACAGACAGACGAACACAAAATCAGGAATCTCGACAATACATAACTCGGGCAAAAGACTGAACCTAAAAATAAACGCGACTGGCAGAAACCAAATACGCTATAACATATCGTCAAAAGGAATGGGGTACCTTCAGCTTGTACCAGCCAAATTTCCTTACCCACTATATCACGGGTGTTGAAAGTCATATTGACCGGCGTTGCCAAAGGGCCTTTTCCCGCCTTCCCAATGACAAAGGGAAAAGCCACGGGAACGGAGTTGCCATTTAGATTCAAAATAAAACAAAATGAATTTAAAAGTCACGTCTTCAAAATATTGCTATTGGACTTTGGGGGGGGGGGGGGTGAATATTTTCGCGAAACCTTTGTTCGCCACCACAGCAATCTAACTAAATGTATTGTATTTATTGTATTTTTATGATTTATGATAACATTACGCAAGTATTTATTGTTTTTTCTCAAAAATCATAAAAATACAAGAAATACAATATATTTAGTTAGGTTGCTGTGGTGGCGAACAAACGTTTCTTAAAAATATTCAGCCCCCTGTCACGTGTCCACGAAAAGTTTTCGCGGAGATTGCGCGCGACTTTCAAATGATTTGTTTTTATTTTGAACCTAAATGGTAAAGGGGAGGTTTTTTCCTTCCAAGTGCAACTAATGTTGTCAATTTTTCGATTGGGACTATTCTACAATGAAGTACTCTTGGATACTGTAATCTAAATACATATGAAAGCGAAGAAGTGGCATCTATCGGGCAGAGTAGCGGCGAGCCATTAAAATGGCGGCAATTTGACGAAATATCGAGGGACACAATATCGAAGAGAAAATACACTGCACTGCTTCAAAACTTAATGAAACTTGGCTGAAATCTTCTTTAGCCATTTATCATTATATAAAAGTACAACAACGGATGATACTTGCGAGACTCGGCGATAAAAAGCAAACAAGACGGCAAAATATGGCTGAAATAGTGTTATCGGTGGGGGGGGGGCAGGGGGGGGGTGAATAAAATGTATTATATTTAAAGAAAACAATGACAATCCTTATGAAATCCACAATAATTATATTGAATTAAGCATAGTTTTTCATCCCATGATAATTTTTTTTAGGAAATAAGAACATTTAATTTCTGCCAGGCATATTAGTTATTTTATGCATAATTAGCAATTTACCTGGGGTGGTGCATGGTCATTTTCTTGTAAAATATTAAATTTTTCCTTCCATTAATCACCCCTAAAAGCAACCCTTCTGAACACTATAAGTATATAACCCTTCAGAATGCTGTTGCTTTTTGTTTTCGGAAGTGGGAGCTATGTCGGCACTGCCGTTTCAGGGCGGGGTTTTCGCCCCGGATTCAGGTTTTGGCACATATGCCATGTTGACCGCCATGGTCATTTTACCCTAAAACAGTTGAGATTACATGTGCTAAATGAAACGCATACAAACATCTATACAGGTCCTAGAATACATACAATATCTTAGGATGTCAATATCATAAGGATCGAATCATGCAGTATCTTAATTAAGATGTCCTACGGTATCTTAGCATATCCATATCTTAGGATATCGTTTAGTATCTTAGGATATCAATATCTCAGGATATGATGTAAAGCTTTAATAATAATCCACCTTAAGTAAAAAAATACAGTGGACTTACAAATTCATAAACATTATAAAACAATCTATATTACAATAAAAATTTGTATTTTTAAAAAGGTTCAATTGCCAAAGGCACTGACGACGATTATGTCCTTCAGTTCAGAGAATAATGCAACCTACATTACAGAACCGTTTATTACAGTAGTAATTTAAAGTTTATTATTAAAAAGTGTAACTGCACGAGGCATAAACGATGATTTATGTCTTTCGGTTCTGGAAATAATGCGACCTACATTAGAACCTCTTTCTTTAGTTCTAGTGGAATAGTCATGCTTCTGTGCGATAGGGACAAGGTGGTGACAGGGATGGTTTACGTCCTGAGTAATTGCCTCCATTTCTCGAAGAGTTAGCTTATCTCTTCTCTCACTAAGCGGGGGAAGTGTATCGACCGGTAAACCAATAATACGTAAGCTTCTCTTTTGAATACGTTCAAGGACGTTCACTAAATAGTGAGGTAGGCCACCCCAAACTGGTGCGGCATATTCCACCAGTGGACGAATTTTGGTACAGTAAATTGCCAATCCTACTTCAGTAGGAAGGTGAGCCTTCCTGCACTGCCTTAGATGACACAGTCTCCTGTTTCCCTTACGAGTAATTTCTTTGATGTGAGAATTCCATTTCATGTTACTTTGACAGCTAACACCAAGTAACTTGAATGAACTAACTCTTTCGATCATAACATCCCCGATATAAAGATTTGGAGGCTGTGGGATAGATTTCCCAAAGCAAATCCACATATCTTTCGTTTTCTTTGCGTTCAACTTCATTCTATTAGCGTTTGACCAGTTCTGAACGGCGTCTAAGACTTTCTGCATGTTGCTACACTCTCCCTTCATGATGAATTCACTTTGTGTGCAGCATCGGCATATTTATATGTGCTCACCTCAAGATCTTCAGGAACATTCGTATCTAAGTCGTCAATGTGGATATTAAATAAAGTCGGCGAAAGAGCAGATCCTTACGGTACTCCAGCTGGGCAACCCTCGATCGATGAAACTCTTTAACATTCAACAATGCAAGTTTATTCAACAGAATCCCATCATCAACTGGATCAAAGGCTTTTTTAAAGTCGATAAAGAAGGCATGGATGCCTGCTTTGTCACGGCAGGTATTGTCAGTAGCATTAAACCATGGCTGTGTGATGGATATCAGAGCCGATGTAGTAGAGCGGCCACTAGTAAAACCATGTTGACTGGGACGTAGTATGATGTCATTTTGATTGAGTTGTAGTTGTACTCTGTCTAGCATTTTCCCAATACGTGGCAAAACAGAGATTTATCTAAAATCGTTACTACCGTCCGTTGGTGGGTATGCTTTAGGCACAGGTGTGACCAGGCCATGTTTGTGATGACTTGGATACTTACACTGTTTAATGCTAGCCGTAATGATGTTATGAACAATCGGCGCTAGAACGCTAGAGAATCGTTTAAGTAACCATGCTGGAACACCATCGGCTCCCTTTGGTTTCGAGTGATTAAGGTGATTTAGAACGCTCTTAATCTGGCCAATACTAGGTAGAGGGGGAGGATAGTTTTTGAGAAGTGACTCAACTTCATCTAGTTGGGGAATACTTGTTGTAATTAGGTCTTTCCATGGTTCAGTAAAGGATATTTGAAATTTTTCTGCTAAAGCGGCCTCGCTACCCATGGAGTTTACTGTTAGGCCTTCATGCTGACTACTTACTCCGGACAGATTATAAATTGCTTTGTACCATTTAGCAGGGTCAGATGTGCGGAATGTTTTAGCTTTATATTGATAGTAATTTGATTTGGCTTTCCTAATCATATCTTCTACTTGTGCACTTAGAAGATTATACTGGGACATGTTGCCACGAGTAAAAGCCCGTTATCTAAGCTTAATCTTTGCTTTAATGTTCGGAGTCATCCAAGGTTTATCCGTGTGATGTAGGCGTATGGATTTCAGAGGCATACATCCGTCTAGAGCTTGACTAATAACTTCATTGAAAATTGAGACTTTGTCATCTACGTCTTCTGCTTCGTATACTGCATCCCAGACAGTTCTGCTTAGTCTTAGCTCGAGAGCTATTAAGTTTGAACGTTTCATCGATCGAAATGTTTTAGCTATTGGGCGTGTACTCGTCCGATGTTTTGGATTCAAAAGGAGGCATTGGTGATCCGATCGACCTAAGGGAGAACGATGTTGCACTTCTTGAAACAGTGGCGACATATTAGTCATTATCTGATCTAAAATATTGTTCTGGCGAGTTGGTTTCTTAACAATTTTCCTCAAATCAAAACAATTACATAATGTTCCTAATTTCATTTTGTTAAAGTCTCCAGCGATTATAATTCCAGCAGAGGGATAGCTTTGTAGAATAAAGTTGATTCCATTGGTAAGATAATCAATCATAGTTATCTCATTTATGGCCGCTTGACCTGGGGGATAATAGACTGCAACCATAACAATGCAACTGAAAGGCCTTGGAAGTCTTTGTGGTTTCGACAATAGCCACAGAGCCTCTTTGCCTTCTTCTTCCATGTCAAACAAGCGGCTAGAAGGTATTGCAGTTTTAACATAAGTAATTAAACCGCCGCCAGGTGTTCCTCTATCTTTTCGGTACGGAGTATAGTTAGATCCAATGGATATAACTCCATCGTATATGCTCGGATCTAGCCAGGTCTCAGAAATACATATAAGGTCAGGATCATTAAATTCCGCAACTGAGCTGAGCTCATCCATTTTATTCAGAATTTGACAAGCATTAGTTAAAAATAATGAAGGAACAGTCTGTTTATTTGTTTTTATATCGGTAGATATCTTGATACAGTTCGTAGGCTCATGGGACCTTCTTCTATCATAATAAAGCGTATTAATGTGGGGAGTGGTGTTCGCGGTTTTAGAAATTAGTTGTTGTCGATCACTAATTCTCGTCGGAATCGGAATTTTTATCGTTTCATAGCGCGATATCGATGGACAAGCTTCAAGTGACCGATCCAGTCCTGCTTGTGACAGCGACTGCGTGTTAAACGTGTCCGCTTTTTCCAATTGAGCTTTAAAAAATAATTATCATTCTTATACGATTTCGGGCAGCTGATATTATTTGGCCGCTGAACTGGTTGCAATTTAGGTTTTCCTTCTATGAGAGGCAATCTCTCCATCCAATATACTGAGAGAGATTTATGCGTAGTATTTTTTGACATACAATCAGTTTCAAAAGTCTTGGGACAGATGCCACAAAACCTTTGAATTTCAACAAACGTCAATCCCCCCGCCTCCTGTTCAATGTTCTGTCCCATTTCTCGTCACGTTTGATGTGTTTTGGTTGGAGCAACATTGATTGGGGTGGGGGGAGGGGGAGGGGGAGGGGAGCGGTATTGTGTGTAAAAAACTGTAGTGATCCACTTACACTCTAAAACTACATGTGTCCCAACAACTTCTGAAAGTGATTGTCTGGGCCCCATATGCCATAACACCATTGTATATCTCAAACGTACAGGGAATAGAATGCTCTGCGAACGAACTATTTCTGCTCCATTTCGTTCACAGAATATCTAATATAATATTTTAAAACAATTAAAACAATTAAAATTCTCAAAGTTAATAATTAACAGGATATGAATATAACTTGTTATGTCATATAGCATTTTTAATCGTTGTTTGTTTTTACAAATTTCGGCACAGCACAAATGGGTTATTTGAGAGGTTATATATAGTCCGTCAATATAAAGATAGGTATCGCGAATGTTTTACGCTAGAGATGTCATACTTACTGTTAATTTATAGCATAGTAATATAACATCCGGTTACTTTCACATGCGGGTAACGGCTGAGTCAACTGCTAATTCGGGTACTCCGAAGGTAAAGGACGTTTGCTTTATAATCACTTATGGTCAATGTGACATTTCACATCTTTCTACAGTGTGTATCAAAATAATTCGAATCCAAATTTGGCGTGTAATAACGCAGAATATATTTGACAAATTCGGTTGGTTTTTACACCATTGTTAAGTTCATTTATTTACCTTTCAAATGACATGCTGTACGCGTCATTTAGTTGGTAAATGAAGGAGTATTGCTTTGACAAAAAAAGTCCATAAAAATCACAATTTTCCGCCGATGGGAATTGGACATTTTTTCTTTCAAAGTTAGTCCCACAAGGCTTTGAAATGCTAATCATCACTGAAAACTTAAATGCAAATTTAACGCGAATTTCTTCTCGTTCAACATGTTGAAGGCATAGGAGCTTAAATCTCTTTAAATGAACACGAATTTATGTAAATTTTGCTACATAACAGTTTGTTGATTAATTAAATTTGCATTATCTTTTGTTTGTACGTCTCACTTCGAATTCCCATCGGCGGAAAAATTTGATTTCGAGCAACCAGTTTTAACACACAATTTCTTGGTCATTTTTGATCTTATTGATATAAGAACGATATAATCGGAAACCTAATAGGCTATTCTTAATTGCCATATAAAAATTATATGGTTTACTTTAGTATTTTATAAACAGCAGTCTGTCAAATTTGGATTCGAATTATTTTGATACACACTGTAGAGCAGAATTTGCAGATATAATTGTCGATGCATGGGTAGGAAGGAGCACTAAGTAGATGGGAATGTCGGAGGCTCATGGAAAGGGGGGGGGGGGTAGTCACTTCCACACGGCAAAAAAAAATGTCCACAAGATCAACGTGGCGAGCTATCGGAAAGCTCGAGAAGAGCAAATGTGGCATTTAATTGAACTCAGTTCCGCAGACAATCTCAAAAATTACTATTCAGCGTATTCGTACGTGGTAAAGAAGACTCGGACTAGGTGATTTCTCCAGGGCTTATAGACATCCCCAATGCTGACGCGTTAGCGAGTACTAACGCGACCCGCGAAAGCAAGAAAGTTGCACAGGCTTCCAAAAATATGTAACGAAAGCGACTCGCAGTATACGGCGTAGTACGCATTATACAACACTGACGTTAGTGTTATACGCTAATTATGCTAATAAGCGTTTCCGGACGAGACGAATGCAATGAAACTAACATCGGTTGACACTTGGATTGTCACTATAGAAATATGAAATAACAGGCAACTAGACATCTTGCTTTTAAAACAGAACAATGCTAAGAATAATCTGTTGAGAATGTCTAACAATGTATTTGCTATTAGTGAAAAGGTTTGAAATTGATTAAACCAAGTTTTGGATCGATTGACACTTTTTTACATAAATAGATCTGATATATCATAGTGATATTTCTAGAGTTGAGTGTCAATCGATACATTTTATACAATTTATATACTTTGTGATTAAGTAGAACCCGTAATATATCAATAAGCGCTTCCTAAACACGTTTGCTTAGTAGTTAATGTTCTGAAAATGATTATGCCGCGACAATTGAAAGTTATATCAATGAAAATGCTATGTGTTTAAAAGTGACAATCGAGTATTAATCGAGCACGTGTTCAAGCCGTTTTATATTTACATACATGTTTTCATGTCAAATATGCACAATCTTTAAGTGGTCTTCGATAACTTACCCTTGCATTTTATTTAGCATTAACCTAGGTCGATAATTAATCAGATGGGTGTGTTTTCTCCCTTGCATATAGACCGGGTATAATCGCTCGGCATACTACCCTCCCCACACTCACATCTTTCAGTATAAGCTCACTTATGATATACTGCTGGATTGTGTTACATTTCAAAGATATTGACCACAACCGAAGCACAGTAAGGACGTTACACATGCCAATGCAATTCAGTAAACATGTTATACTAAATGCTATATGATTTCGCGAAACTGATATTCTAAAACACCCGGTAATTCAAAGAGGTTAAATATGCCTTTGATTGCCTTTAAGACAGTCTGGGCCCATATGCCATAACACCATTGTATATCTCAAACGTACAGGGGATAGAATGCTCTGCGAACGAAGTATTTCTGCTCCATTTCGTTCACAGAAGATGTAATATAATATTTTAAAACAATTAAGTTCCATTAAAATTCTCAAAATTAATAATTAACAGGATATGAATATAACTTGTTATGTCATATAGCATTTTTAATCGTTGTTTTGTTTTTACAAATTTCGGCAGAGCACAAGTGGGTTATTTGAGAGGTTATATATAGTCCGTCAATATACTGAGATAGGTATCGCGAATGTTTTACGCTAGAGATGTCACACTTACTGTTAATTTATAGCGTAGTAATATAACATCCGGTTACTTTCACATGCGGGTAACGGCTGAGTCAACTGCTAATTCGGGTACTCCGAAGGTAAAGGACGCTTGCTTTATAATCACTTATGGTCAATGTGACATTTCACATCTTTCTAGGGCAGAATTTGCAGATATAATTGTCGATGCATGGGTAGGAAGGAGCACTAAGTAGATGGGAATGTCGGAGGCTCATGGAAAGGGGGGTAGTCACTTCCACACGGCAAAAAAAATGTCCACAAGATCAACGTGGCGAGCTATCGGAAAGCTCGAGAAGAGTAAATGTGGCATTTAATTGAACTCAGTTCCGCAGACAATCTCAAAAATTACTATTCAGCGTATTCGTACGTGGTAAAGAAGACCCGGACTATGTGATTTCTCCAGGGCTTATAGACATCCCCAATGCTGACGCGTTAGCGAGTACTAACGATATGCACAATCATTAAGTGGTCTTCGATAACTTACCGTTGCATTTTATTTAGCATTAACCTAGGTCGATAATTAATCAGATAGATGTGTTTTCTCCCTTGCATATAGACCAGGTTTAATCGCTCGGCATACTACCCTCTCCACACTCACATTTTTCAGTATAAGCTCACTTATAATATACTGCTGGATTGTGCTACATTTCAAAGATATTGACCACAACCGAAGCACAGTAAGGAAGTTACATATACCAATGCAATTCAGTAAACATGTTATACTAAATGCTATATGATTTTCGCGAAACTGATATTCTAAAACACCCGGTAATTCAAAGAGGTTAAATATGCCTTTCATTGCCTTTCAGACAATCAGTTTCAAAAGTCTTGGGACAGATGCCACAAAACTTTTGAATTTCAACAAACGTCAATCCCCCCCGCCCCCGTTCAATGTTGTGTCCCATTTCTCGTCAGGTTTGATGTGTTTTGGTTGGAGCAACATTGATTGGGGTGGGGAGAGGGGGAGGGGAGCGGTATTGTGTGTAAAAAACTGTAGTGATCCACTTACACTCTAAAACTACATGTGTCCCAACAACTTCTGAAAGTGATTGTAGGTTGTATTGGGGTCTTGATGGCATTCGCCGTCATTCTAGCATCTGTTGTCTTCATGGTAGATGTTTGTGAAATATTTTCCTTAGCAGACTTGAGAGTACAAGATGCCTTGCGCTTTCCCTCTAAGAGAGGCAGCTTTCCTAACCAATTTTGTGGATCATTTTTTGATAACACAAGAGACATGGTCGTGAGGGCCTTCAGGGTTGTTATAGCAGGCACTGGGATATTTTGCAAAGCCGAGTTAGAGTCAGAGAAATGAGATTTACCATTATTCAGACTAATATCAGTGTTATTCTCGTGCCTTGAACCCTTAGTCTCATCAATAGGTATTTTTTTTGACGACAGGCTTCGTTGGTTTTCTATTGTGTCATTACATTGGGACGTATCTTGCGTATCTAATGAGTATTTTTTCTTGTTTGAGTGAGGATATCATACAATATCTTAGGATATCATACAATGCATTATCTTAGGATATCAATATCTTAGGATATCATACAATATCTTGGAATATTATACCTCAATTTCAAATTGTCCAATCAGGAAGCTTAGTTTGTGCCACGTGAGCATGAAATTAATCGCGATATCACGCCTTACGTCATCAATTAGCGAGCCTGCGTTCCCCGTGGAACATGGGATGGAACATTATTCGCGTAGACCGCGCGAGACAACACGCATGACAAAAACATGGCCGACAAAATATAAATAGTATTGATGAGTGATGAATAATCAAATTTTAAACGTAAAACCTGGGGCTTTTTCAAAATTTTGAAGCAAATTTTGAAAAATGTTGCCATTAATATTCCAAACGATATGTGATTCGAAAAAAAGCGACGAATACTTGCGTTAATCCGAAAATAAAACATCGTATTCACGAAGGTATGTGTCAAGTTTTTAATTCTCAAGTTGGAGGCTTTTAATTTTCGGTATAATATATCATTTATAGACCCTCCGCTCAGGGGATTCGGCGAGATATTACCCTCAAAAATAAAAAAGATAAATATCATCACTTCGGGTAATATTTCGCCGAATCCACCTCGCTCCAGGTCTATAAATGATAAATATCATACAGTATCTTAGGATATCATACAATGCAGTATCTTAGGATATCAATATCTTAGGATATCAATATCTTAGGATATCAATATCTTAGTCAATGGAATATCAATATCTTAGGATATTATACAGTATCTCAGGAGATAAGCAGAAACTCGACGTTTCGAGCGAAGGGGTTTTGGCTACTAACTCTTGACGAAGGGCCTTCGCTCGAAACGTCGAGTTTCTGTTTATTTTTTAAGGTAGTAATATAACCACTCAGCACAGCATTTCTACATTGGTGCTACCTACACTGGTAGCACCACTGAGATCTGTCCTTTGTCTTTTATCTATACAGCAATAATAATAATTTTACAGTAGTTTGAAGCTAATCGCCATTCTGTGAATAACTTTCAACTTCAATTGGTATTTTTCGGCAAAATTTGATTTGTCTCATAATTGTAGTATAAATTATAGCAATAAAAAATACATAACATCGTAGTTTGCATGCGGCGTTTTTAGTACTTGATTTGGGTTAACGATACTGTTCCAGGAATCCAGGCTTCACACACTCGCGGACCAACAACAATGACATCTCTCGACATGTCCAAGTTAGCGGTCTGGGCGATTTGTCCGCACCTGCACAATTTAGTTATTTATTTGGAAACATGTGCATTGCCCATCATGGATGATATTTTATCAAAATGCGCACATTTCAGCATCGTTATTTTAAAAACAGATAGGCTCTTCTGTTTGTACATGTCACATAAATGATAAATCATACGCGTCGTGGTATACAGCCGATGGCATACGTCGATCAGCAAGCATTTTCCACAAGTTGTCCACAAGCATTTCTCTTTGCCGGTGCTTTCGCCTCAAAATGAAGAACACGTAAACTTACGCATTCTCCTTCATGAAGAACACGTAAACTTACGATAGTTATCTCCAGTTTCACCTGCGTCATTAAAGTACTAATTACAACACTTGAAGAAGTAAAAGTAGCGTAATACTTACGAGATCCTATTTGAATTAATTTCCCATAAAGAGTAGTACTAAAAACTGTTTTTGATAATGACACATTGAAAACGTCTCTTCCTGTACACTTACGAACAGGACCCGAATGGAGGGAATACTGGCATGGTCTGAGCGGCCTCCAAAATCGTCCCAAATTATGACGTTGGGACGGACAAATAAACATCATCTTAAGACCCCGTTTACACTAGAGCGAAAGATTCCGGATTCATCACAAAACCGAAACGTTTTGGCATCGGATTCATACATGCGTTTACACATACAGCGACGAATCCGGTGGAAAATCATCTCGGTTGCAGGACGTATCCGAAAACTTTGAATCCGGGAAAAGAAGTAGAAACTTTGTATCCGGAAACATTTGAATCCGGAGAAAACTCTAGTGTGAACGGCTTTCCGTAAAGAATCTGAAACAATTTGTTCCGATGTATGTTTTTCAAATGTATTGCTATTAAATTGAATCGCCAAACAGGGTCAAAACATCACATAATATCACTAAGAGGGTTAAAATTATTTACGTTATATTGACCATCGCTGTGTCGGGCTGTGTAATGTAAACGCCTCGCGGATCCGTATACTTGAAAAACAAGGAATTCGGATACTTTTACAAATCCGGAAACTTTTGCTCTAGTGTAAACGTAGTCTAAACTGGTCTTCGGTAAAATTGAACATTCCCGCGCGAATAGCAATTAACTCGTTCTCTCTCAAGTTCGATTTAGAAAGATGACAGTTTGATAGTTGAACACTCATATCTTCCTTACAATCAAATAAGCAACTAATCTCATGTAATCCACGACTTCCACCACAAGAAATTCCACCAACGCCAACAAATGAACAACTTTTCTCCATAATCAAAACTAAACTAGTAAGCTTCCAGAAATATCTAAAAACGGCACTTCTTTGCGTTAATTTTCTGTTAAACAAAAAAAAGGTGTGGAAATTACAAAGGAACACTGTCATTGTCCATTGATATTATTTAAGAAGTAAGTTTAAAAAACACTCCAATAATTATTTTTAACAAAGGCGCATTGAAGAACAAAAACAGCTTCTATACATTGCGTCTGCTATTATTTTCTGCTATTATTGTCGTGGTTTTTTATTATTATTTTATAAATTAGCGAAACTTAAAATTGGCTACAGACGTAATCCCCTTGGCATACAGACTACAGTAACACAATTTACTACTAAACCTCGACATTTTTTCGACAACTCCCGAACGTTTGATAAAGATTAAATTTGCGAGATTAAATTGTTTGTTGAAGAACTAACACGCGAAAAATAACTATCCAGGTAGCAAGTTAACTATAAAGTTTAGTATATTGTTGCTTTCGTAATATAGCGTGTATTATATTTAAGGCACACTCATCAGTACATATTAAACAACGATAATATACTGTATTGTACATTATGTTGGCGTGCAACTATTTAGTAATTTTAATCCAGTTTAAAACGATCAATTGTAAAGGCTTTCCGAAAGCTTAAAAAAATTACAAGGCGGTGTTTGTATTCAAATATAAGAACTTATAAACACTATTTTATATTTATAATAATTGGCAATTGCTGATATAAATTTATAAAAGCTCCGCGAGTAACGTTCAACATGTTTCCGGTTATCACAAAGGTAAACAATAGAGCTATTTATAGCCAGAGGAGGTTGGACAGCAGGCCGCAAAGCATCTTGGGTATTGAGCGCCTAATTCCACGGCGTGGCTTCATTGACTGTTGACTATCGAGGAGTGAACATCACTCTGACTCAGAGACTCTGACTAAACAAATATGGAAGCTTTCGAACGACTATTGTGTCAGAACAGCATATTGCTGTAGTGTTGCGATCCTCATTATGACTGGTGTTTTGCTATACCAAGTTTACCTTTTTTTAAATTGCATGGGACGTGCTGTCATTTTAGTTTAGTTCATAAATAATCCGTCTGAGAGAAGGAATTGTGTTTATATAAATATTCCCAAATCCCAATAGCAAGGCTCTTCTTTCTAAGTTGGATGGCGTTAAATCTCCGTGTATCATCAACGTGAAAACAAGCGCAGTATTTAAGGTTGGTATACTACAATGCATTACAGTTATCTTGTTATTTTATAGTCAAATTTCCGCTTTGTTGTTTTTATTCATGTACTGTACTGCACTGTAATTTCAGAAATACACTGCACAAAATTATAGCGTAATATTTGTGTTTATTGCCTATAGTTTGACCCTATTGTGTGTGTCTATGTACTCTGTCACTGTGATAGTTATATACATGTTTTGAGTTAATTAAACAAGTTGTTTAATAAATTTTTGCTGAAGTAGTATACAGTAGTTATATATTTTTCAATTTTCATCTGTAAGTAATATTGCCATATTTGTGTGTTGTTCTAATATTACTGTAAATAGTGACACACTTTTGCATTAGATTGCTAATTTTAGAGATTACAGTGTATGTATAAAATAAAAATTTTCTTGTTATGATTTTGTAGAAAGGGATCTACTTGAGTGGTTGGCTGGTCTTGAACCTAGTCAGGATGGATATATGGTAATGAAGGTGATACGGCAGAAAGTGGTGACCAGTTAGGTGATGAGGATGAAAGTGACGAGAACGAAATCATCCATGCTGTACCATTCAAGTGCACCAGTGCTGCTCATGAGAAAAACTACCAACATCATTTGGAACAGGCAATATACTTGCTCTTCATGGACAAGATAAACCAGTGAATGTAAGAATATGGCCAGAGCAATTGAATCCAATGGACCCAAGTGCAATTGATCTGGACTATATGGAACTGGATGGACACATGTTGGTTATTTAATATTGCTTCTGAACTATGCGAGTATTTGCACCCACTAATTGCCGCAGGAGATATCTTAGAGGTCTATGTTCAGCATATCAAGTATAGGGTTGACTTAAATTTTAAAATAGGATTTTATCCAAAAATTTCATTAAAGTAATGTGGTGAGTGGGAGACTCAAGTGGTAAAGAAGAGCATGAGTGTATGTTGACAGATGTTTGTGATATAATAGCAACTGACTAGGTATAGCAAGTTATAGAAATGCTGTTATTTCAATTGGCTAACTTTTTAGATTTTTTGTCAGCATTTTTAATAAACAAAAACTAGGTTAATCACAAGTGGGTGCAATTAAAACAATGTCTGTCATTAAAACAATGTCTGTCAATTAAGTACATAATTGTAACATGTGCTGTACACTAAATGAATAAATAGTTTATACATTCACTTGACCAACTTTGTGAGTAATTTTTCATTAAAATTAATGCAACAATAAAACAAAAATATGTCTATTTATATACATATTGATCAAAGGTCCCACAATAACATGCTGCTGATACTTTGTGGTACATTATATGAGAATACAAAAAAAACCTGCATATAATGCACCTATCAATGTTAAGTCCCAGATGTGGGGTATTTAATCATTAATTGCATCCCCACCCTAGGGATTTTGATTAGGCATTTTGGCCCGAGTTAGGGCAATTTGAACCAAAATGACTTTTATTAATATATTATTTAGTGCAGTTAATTGCAAAATGTTGGGGTATTTGGCCAATATTTATTGCCCAACAGTGGGACATTTGATTGAAAATTTGCTCAAAAAATCAAATGCCCCACATATGTCCGACGCCCCTCTGTGGAGCTTAACATTGATAGGTGCATAAGAACAACCATTTCTCAAACTTTATCTGAATTAGTTGTGTAACAGCATTTATACAAAATACTGTTAAATAAGGCCAAGTGGGCCTTCACTGCTATAAAGGGCATTCTATCCAATGGCATTCTAGGACCAATTAACATCTCCATGGCGTTGTTCTCCAAAGCATCGAGCAGCTATATAAATCAGATTGTCTTTTTGACCAGCATGAAGTACAGACATAGCCTTGGCAACAAGTGGGAGAAAATTTTGAGGGACAAATTTAGCATCTAGACCAGGATTAAGTTTTACCAGCCATTTTTGAAACAGGTGGATGAGTAGTTGCTCTGGTTGTCGCTGGGTTAGTTTTGAAAATCCAGAAGTCATCATATCAATAACATTTACCAGAGAGGTGAACAAGTTTAGAACTCCGAATTTAATGATGATGCTTTAATAATTCTTGCAGACAGAATCATTGACAAAAATAGAATCCACTAGCCAAAATCACGAATCTCAAATCTAAAACATCAGCCAAACAATAAATTTCAGCAATAAAATATTGTTACAGAAGTGCTTTAATTACTTACATACTTTAAACAATACATATAAATCCGTAATATATCGAGACTTCTGTAGTATATCAAATCTCTTTAGAAAAAAGCTAGTAATAGCAGTTCATTATTGATCTGAGTGACAAGGCAGCATATTTTACAAAGGGCTATATTCAACGGTGAATATCTCGAAAACGGTTGAGAGGCCGAGGGGGGCCGGCTGGATAGAATTAAAGATTATACTTTTATCTAACTAATCGTGAAAAAAATAGCGAAATCGAACCATGGAGATTTGAGATTTTTGTCTTCAAAGATTGTTGACAGAAACGCCATTAAATTACATCGCGACGGCATAGCGCCTAAGTGAGAGGTCAAAATAAACTGGAAAATGACGCTTACCTTTTAAGATACCGTTCCAATGGGTAGATTGACTGTTATAAAAGTAGTATCGCGTGAAATTTTCCAAAAAAAATGCATAACAATATGAAAAAAATCGATATTTATGAGCCCTATGTAAATTTTCGATGCTAAAAGCTTCGTGCGAGCATGAAGAAAATGGCGCAATCTGATTGGTCGAAATGTTCGCCTAATTGGCTGTCCAACCTCCTCTGTTTATAGCCATAATTTATGAATTTTGCACTCCTTCATATTCCTTTTGCCGACAAGTTTTATTGCGAATAACAAAACTTTAAGTATTCTACTTTAACCCTAAAAGTGTTTTAGACACCAGGTAGGTTGCACTTTTGAGAATTTTTAGTTTGAATTTTGTACCTAATCATTAGTTGTTCGGCGAACGAAAATAGCGACTTCCTTGGATGGAGACCAGTAGGCTTAAAATAAGATGTACACTCAAATTCTTTCAACATTCTAAAAGAAGAAGAATATTTCTCAATACGCTGAAAAAAGTTTTTAATTTGACGCGAAACTTTCCGAGTTATGATGCACAATATAACACACATTTGACCGCCGTTTTCGGGGTCAAATTTCAGTGTCGCTGACGTCCAGACAAAAATTCGTCATAACTCAAAAAAAAGAAAAATTTAGAAATTCTAATATTAGTTTAATACCTTTTAGGATAAAGGTAGTTCACGGTAAAAATTTAAAGGAAATCTAATTTTCAACCTGAAACGCTCTACATGGTTCTTAGTGAGACAGCCACTTAAGAGATTGCTTGAAACCATTAATGACTGTTAATAACTTTGGCTGTAAACGTTTTAGAGAGCCACAAACGACAAAATTTCGATATATCTTGCATATAATCTGTTATAACTCTCTGTTCGTTAGTATTTTTTTCCTGTCTCAAGCTCGATGGGTGAAATAAAGAAAATTGTATATATCCACACGTGGTGGTTAATCACTTTTTAATGACTCTATAATATGCAAATATCGACCATAGAACGGCGTTGATAATGATTTTAACTTGGGCATGGCAACTTCTTAGTTCTGTTTAAAAATTTTCATATGTATGTCTGGATTTTTATTATTCCTTGTTTAACAGTCCTAAATATGGTGAATACATCCCCAGGGAAAACCAATGATGGTGTTAAAGTAGTGGACACTCTAAGATAATCTAATATAAAACCTTGTAATACGATGAATTCAAATACACCTTTTATATTCTATTTCTATTCTCGTTTATGATTTTGGTGAATTTTGAATAAACTGGGATATTCTCTGCAGAATTCCCCCCGGAATCTTTACAAACTCCCATAAGTCAGGAATCTTCGTAATACACAATTCTCACTGCGCATGCGTATAAGTAAATATCTACGTCCCACAAGCAGTTTAGTTTGATAGTTTATTTGACACTAAAACTTACAGCTCCAGAATATAACTAATTCCACTGCTGAAATATGTTAGGTTTACAAGGATATTAAAACTAATTTTACATGTATTTGTTTAAGAAAACGAATAAGATTAGACTAGATACTTAAAAATACACATTCACATATATATACTGTATGCGCAGACTTATAATTTGTTACTAAAACACTCACTAATGCTAATTTAGATTAGGTTAAAAACCAGCATATTCGCGGTAAAAAACAGTTTCTAAGTTATTCAAAAAACTTATTAGAGTTATAAGTGATAAAACTGTTCCTAAATCTGTTCGTTTTATGAAGTGGCACGTTAAATTTCCTATTTTTACGCAAAAAATGACTATTGTCATTATTTAATGGCGGTAACAAATCCGTTAATTTGTGCTCAGGATTATTGACTACGTCCTTAAAAAGTTTTGTTGTTAATTCCTGTCTTCTATCGTACAGTGATGGGGTGTTCGTGTTCCTCAATGCTTGTTTGTAGTGTTGATCTGGGAATATTATTCGAAAAGCTCGTTTCTGAAGTCTTTCAAGATCATCAGACAGGTATTTGGGTAATGAGTCGTGAAATGCTTGGCACGCATACTCGATGACTGGTCGAATACAGGTGGAGTAGAAAAGGATTAGGTCGTTAGCTGGTAATTTCGCTCGTTTTAGTTGTCTTAAAAAATATAGACGAGGTGCGACCTTTTTACAAACGTGTGAAATATGACTATTCCACTTCAAGTTATTTGAGATGGTTAGACCCAGCAATTTTACCGATGTTACACGTTCGACAATTTTCCCATTAATAGTAATTGGCTGGAACTCACGTATGCTTGGTGCAAAGCTTATACACAACTCTTTGCATTTTGATTCGTTTATCTGAAAACCGTTAGCTTTTGATTTCTGGTTAAATTCATCTACGTACTTTTGTAAGTTACTTGGACCATCTCTACAAACTGATTCCGACAAGGATGAGTCGTCAACATATTTCCATAGATCATTAACGTCCTTAACGCTTAGATCATTAATCATAATACAAAATAACCATGGGCCGAGCTTTGTGCCTTGGGGGACGCCGGCTGGGACCTTGCCCCATTCGGAATGGCAATCTTGGCTGAGTTTTACCCTCTGTTCTCGGTCAGTCAGAAAGTCTAAGATCCAAAGCATGACAGACCTCGGTAAGTTATAATTTGTTAACTTCTCCGATAAAATATTGTGGTCTATTAAATCAAATGCTTTACGGAAGTCAAACGTCATAACTCGAGTTGTTGAACCGTTACCATCCGTATCCTTATTCCAAGTGTGTAGCATGCTTATAAGAGCATATGTCGTACAACTATCCGGCACCGTCCCAAATTGTTTACTATCGATCAATTCCATCACTGCTGGCTTCACATAAATCATTACAACAAATTCTTCTGCGAGTTTCGATAGAATAGGTGTAAGTGAAATAGGGCGTAAGCAATACAACAACTTTAGTAGAATATATATCGAGAACGTGTTGGAATCGATTAAATACATTACAAGCGCGTGTAATTGATATGAAATTATAATGTTATGACTTCATGGGCGGTGCAAAGTGCACCACCTGCGCCAGAACCCCCCTTCCCTATGGTGTATTTTTGGCATGATTAATTCCGTGATGACATTCCATATATTTTTCATATATGTGTTGTAAAATACTCATTATAATACACTTTCTCACTTAATATTAAAATACTATAATCTCATTACGATAAACATGGCCAGAAATCCCGGACATAATTTATTATTCAATAATATATTCAGAAATCCCGGACATAAATTATCATATATGTCCAATATAGCCATCGGTTGTCAGGTGGTGTAAGATGGTGTCAGATGCTTTGTTTGTCAGACGCTTGTAGTGTGGTGTCGAATGGTGTAGGATGGTTCAGCTGAACAGCTGTTGTCAGGTGGTGAAGATGGTATAAGATGGCGAAGATGGTCTAATGGGGGGGTAATTTTTAACCTACTTGTGTAAACATAGTGTTGCCTCGTTCTTTCAAAACCACATATATATCAATAAAACCTACCAGACCAACGACAAAAGCGTTATGACTAATTGTGCATATATAGTGTTGCCTCGTTCTTTCAAAACCACGTATATATCAATACTGACCTACCAGATCAACGACAAAAGCGTTATGGCTAATTGTACATAGGCCTATATAGTGTGCTTCGTTCTTTCAACACCACGTAGGCCTATATATCAATAAAACCTACAAGACCAACGACAAAAGCGTCAATGGCTAATTGTACATATATAGTGTTGCCTCGTTCTTTCAAAAACACGCTTCGTATATAGTAAACTGCAGTAGCAAACGCGTCAACGCATTACTATACAATCTTGGACAACGTCAAAAGTTGTGTAGGCCTATTTATACGTTTCATATGTATACATGCTTATATTCGCTTTGACATTTTAGGCATTTCCGGGCAG